AAAGTTGGGAAAATTAATTTTTTTAGGGGAGACTAAAAGGGGAGATTTGCGGGAGATGTGCGCGACGTATCTGAAGAGCGGGGAGGAAGCGGTGAAGTGGGGTGCACTACGTATTTGAGACACGGAACGTCCGGGAGACTTGGGATTTCTGATTCAAGTTCTAAAGAAAGTTAGAAATGATAAATCATCTTTAATATAATAAATACATTTATAGATATGCTATACTGTTGAAGTCAGAATTATTAGCCCCTCTGAATTATTATGCCATCTGTTTACTTTTTTCCCCAATTTCTGTTAATGGAGAGAAGATTTTTTCAACACATTTCTAAACATAATAGTTTTAATAACTCATTTCTGATAACTGATTTATTTTATTTTTGCCATGATGACAGTAAATAATATTTATTAGATATTTTTCAAGACACTACTATACAGCTTAAAGTGACATTTAAAGGCTTAACTAGGTTAATTAGGTTAACTAGGCAGATTAGGGTAATTAGGCTAGTTATTGTATAACGATTGTTTGTTCTGTAGACAATTGAAAAAATATAAAGCTTAAAGGGGCTAATAATTTTGTCCTTTAAATGGGTTTTAAATAATAAAAAAACTGCTTTTATTCTAGTCAAAATAAAATAAATAAGACTTTCTCCAGAAGAAAAATTATTATCAGACATACTGTAAAACTTTTCTTGGTCTGTCAAACATCATTTAGGAAATATTAAAAAGAGAAAAAAAAATCTAAGGGGGGCTAATAATTCTGACTTCAACTGTATAAAAATTTCACTCAACTGGCCACGGTTAAGTGCACACAGCATGCCATATTATGTGATAATTGTTGGACATAGTTCCAAAAGGCAATTGACCACATAAAACGAAACAAAATACAATGTATATGCCGAGTTCAGCAGCTAATCAGCTGGAATCAGCTGAGGTAACGTGATGGCGAGCAGCGAGACTTAGGGCCTACTCGCACTATGCCATCCGTACCGTGCCCAGGCCCGTTTCCCGGATCGTTTGAGAAGTGTGAGTGCGCTGAATCGGGCTCAAGCACGGTTCACTTGGCCGGCCCTGGCCCGGTTGGAAGAGGTGTGCCTGAGCGCGGTTCACTTGGGTACGCTTGTGTGTGAGTGCAAAATGCGCCAAAGCCCGAAACTGAAAGCGAGACGTGACTTTTAAGGGACTGTTTCATATGGATTAATAATCATTCTTACTGTTCAGTGAACGCAAACTGCCGTAGTTTATTAAAGGCGCAAACTCCTCACTTCACGACAGCTGCGCGCCTTCAGCAGACCTCCTCATTCCTGCAGCACGAGGGCTTTATGATTGTTTATGAGCGCCAAAAGTGCCGGATCTGTTCGGCGAAATATCTGACTGCGTGTCCCCGCATCCCTAATGACTGTTTGGCGAAATATTTGACGGCATATCAAACGACTGAAACGATATAACTAGAGAAATCTCCACTGTGCTGCTGAGTGAGAGAGTGCTTCTCACTGAACAGCGCAGCAGCGATGACGTAAGTGTGCTGAAGCCCGTTTGTGGTGTGAGCGCGGGCCGTCGGGGGAGACGGGAGGTGGGACAAGCGTGCTTTGGCCCGGTTCGAGGCAACTGTACCTAGTGTGAGTACGGCCTTAGCTGTCACTCAAGTGGTCAGGCCCTATATGCAGACTTAAAATAACTTAATATAAATGAAACGGATAAGTTCTAAAAAAAAATGTCACCCCTTCACAGTTGTCATGAAGAGTAATATTAGCTATTTACACCAACATTGTTTCTTTTTGTACCAGGCTGTAAGCACCATTTTTTTGCTGTCAAGTTAGCCAATTTAACATTGTAGTCAATAGAAATGTGTTCTATTTTGGAGCCAGACCTAGCGGAACTTCGTTGAAATGCCGTTTCAGTTACTTGCATATTAGCTTCATGAGGGAGAGCTGGATGTTGCCGCTTGCGAGAAAAGTGTTTTTAGAAACTCCTCCGACACAATATTGATTTTTTCTAGACTTTAATTTAACTTTTCGTCTCTCATAATGCAGTCACTTGGGGCTAGGCTTGTTACCTGTCTGGGGCTGCTGAGCCCTTGCAGTTCTTTCATTCCCTCCCACAGTCCAGAACCAGTGCCAACAGGAAGCCCAATAAACAAACAGGCCCCTGCCAAGGTCTGGTTCAGAGTGGTCTAGCCCTGATTCGCATATGCCTTCAATTATGCCGTGGTCCCCTCATCCTCCACACCTGTGAGATATTAGGAACAGCATGTCTGAAGGAATACCTCCCTGGGGTTAGCAAAGCAGCCAGCATATCAGGCTTTGATACCCTGATGAAGAAGGAAGGGTTGAATAGTTCAGGTTTGGTGGAGGCAAACCGAAGCTAATTTTCTGAACAGAACATTAGTTTTGTTGCGCCGTGGGTTTCTTTTACAGCTGTCTGTTGTTATTGAGCTGAAGCGATAAAGCTGGGTAATGCTTTACATTATTTTCCTCGCATCTAATGACCTAGCGACGGCGGCCAAAATTGTTTACTGATGTTTAATGTTGCTTTGAACGAACCAGAGCAGCATCAAAAACTTTTCTGTTGGGTTGCTGAACTTGAGCCATCCAATTGAACTTTCAGCGCTACAACTAACACTGCCTATTAAAATGTGTTGTTAGGACTGTAGCACTAACCCCTGGAGTGCAGGTTCTGGGAAGAATTACCCTGAACAGTCTACTGATATTCCAGTAGTATTATATTGTTGTGCATGTTTATCTTAATCTAGTTCAAGTGGTGCAGAAATTTCCAGTTTATGATCTTTATATCTTTCCTTTGCTAACACGCAAAGCTGTCTTTAAATGAGCTGCCATGATTTCAAAGCACCTCTCATCACAGGCACCATGCAATAAGTCACGACAGGGCAATTTTATTTCCAGTGAATGTAGAAATGTTTTGTTTGTTTTGATGGTTATTCCCTAAATGTGATCTTAAAAGTATATTTTTCGCAATTGCCAAAAATACATTGTATGGGTCAAAATTATGGATTTTTTTCTTAATGCCAAAAATCAAGAAAAAGTTAAGATCATGGTCCATCAAGACATTTTGTAAGTGTCCTACTGAAAATACATCACAATATAATGTTTGATTACTAATATGCATTGCTAAGCTCTTTGTTTAGACAAAGTTTTTTTTAAACCCTCAGATTTTATATCTCAGCCAAATATTATCCTATCCTATGTCTACTTATTATCATAAGTAGATATAAATGGAAAGCTTATTTATTTAGCTTTCATATGATGTATATATAAATATAAATAAATATATATATATATATATATATATATATATATATATATATATATATATTTATATATATACATATATATACATATATATATATATATATATATATATATATATATATATATATATATATATATTTATATATATACATATATATACATATATATATATATATATATATATATATATATATAAATAAATAATGTGTGCGTGCGTGCGTGCGTGTGTATGTGTGTATGTATGTATGTGTATGTGTGAGAGTGTGTGTATGTGTATATGTGTGAGTGGTATTGATGTCCGGGGTCACAAATGTCACATTCTTTTCTACTGTGTTATAGGGACTGCAACAACTTTATACAGATTGAACATTCATCCAGTTTTTTTTAAATACTAGCCAATGGCCATAGGCATTGAGAACAACAATTATAATAATTTATTCATTTATTTATTTTTCTTTGGCTTAGTCTGTATTTCAGAGGTTGCCCTGCGCCAACCACCAACTTCCAGCCACAACCCATTACTGGAAAACACCCATAGACTCTCAATCACACACAAACTCATACACTATTGCCAATTCAGTTTTGGACTGTGGGGGAAACCGGAGCACCTGGAGAAAACCTACGTGAACACGTGGAGAACATGCAAACTCCAGAAACGTCAATCAACTCAGCCAGGACTCGAACCAGCGACCTTCTTGCTATGATGCGACAATGTTAACCTATTATCCACTGTGCCACTTATGATACAAGTAATAATAATTCATTTATTCATTCATTTTCTTTTTGGCTTCGTCCTTTTAATAATCAGGGGTCGCCACAGCGGACTGAACCGCCAACCTTTCCTGCATATGTTTTATGCAACGGATGCCCTTCTAGCTGCAACCCTTCACTGGGAAACATTTACAGTATACACACTCATTCACACTCATATACTACGGACAATTTAGCGTACCCAATTCACCTGTAGCGCATGTCTTTGGACTAGTAGGGGAAACCGGAGCACCCAGAGGAAACCCACGCCAACACAGGGAGAACATGCAAACTCTACACAGAAATGCCAACTGAGCCAGCCAAGGCTCGAACCAGTGACCTTCTTGCTGTGAGGTGACAGAGCTACCCACTGCACAACAAATCGTGTTCGCGTGGGCGTCCTCCGGGTGCTCCGGTTTCCCCCACAAGTCCAAAGACATGCTCTATAGGTGAATTGGGTTTGCTAAATTGGCCGTAGTGTATGTGTGTGATTGAGAGTGTGACAAAAGTAAATCTTTTTTTAAATGTTCTTTCGGAGAAAAATAAAGTGTTTGCGTGGGTTTCCTCCGGGTGCTCGGGTTTCCCCACAAGTCCAAAAACATGCACGATAGGTGAATTGAACAAACTAATTTGGCCATAGAGTATGTGTGTGTGTATAGATGTTTTACAGTACTGTGTTGCAGTTGGAAAGGCATCTGATGTGTAAAACATATGCTCGATAAGTTGGCGGTTCATTCCGCTGTTGCGACCCCTGATGAATAAAGGGACTGATCCGGAGAAAAATGAATGAATGAATGTATATTTACAGGCTGGGATGTTCATTTCTTTTGGTAGTTTAAGTGCAAATGACCAAATAAAACTTATTTGACAATTTGTTTTTGACAAGAACGCAGTGTAGTTGTATTTGTAGTCATAATTGATCTTGTATCAATACTGCTTTCAACCTAATCCAATCAAATTTTTTTCCAATCTAATGTTCTTTAGGTCTACTTTGATTGTGGAGCCAAGGTGGATGTTGTAGATGTTCAGGGCCTCATTCTGTCCCCTGGATTCCCTTACAACTATTCATCTGGAACTCACTGCGTATGGCAGTTCTTTGTGCCTGTCGGTCACCAGCTAGTCATGGAGATGTTTGATTTTGACGTCTTCGAAAGTCACAGTAGCCCTTCGAGATTCACCACCGCTTCAGTCCTGGAAGAGTTACCAAACGGCGATGGCACGTTGGTATCAAAAAGCCTCGCGAGTCCAAAGGAGCCCCAATCCACACACAGAGAAGAGGTCAAACAAGTGGTGATCCAAGAGCAGTCCACCAAAATGGAAATGACCAAAGTTTCCAATTCTGCCAAAATACTCTCTGATTCCCCCTCGGCTGCTCAAGCATCTCTTCCGCAATCCAGAGGACAGCCAGCCGAAGACAGAAATTCGGTTTCATCTCAGTCATCAAGAGCAGCCAGAGACTTTATCTCCACAAGTCCACAAACAGACGCAGATGAAGCTGTAAGCCCTGAAACCCAGTCGCCTCTGGTGGATGCCTGTCCGCACGATGTCCTCTACATATCTGATCTCATTACCTTCTCCTCCCGATTCTGCGGATCCAGGCGTCCGTCGAGCAGCCAGCTGGTCTTCGGCTCTGAAGATGACATGGTGGAGGTTATCATGGAGCTGATCACTACTACCCACTGGGGCCGTGGATTCGCTCTCCTCTTCCACTATCAGAATCAAACAAAAGCAGCCATGACTGAACAGCAGAGATCTGTGTTGACCTCAGACAGCAGAACTAGTGCGCTGCTCGGTGCAGTAAGTGGAACAGTCGCATTCGCTGTGGCTCTCGCTGGCATCCTCTGTGCGATTTTTAGGTAAGAATGGATGTAATGTCATTTTTCCGGTCATATTTAACCATGAGTGTTCCATTAACTTTGTGTCTTTAATTGGGGAATTATTCATATAAGCACCAAAACTGCACAATATTAGTATTTACTTTGATTTCTGAAGGATTGCAATAATAAAATAAGTAAAAATAGAAAAAAATGTTTGTACAAATTGCAATATTTACAAAAAAATATTAGTGTTTTAATGTGTTTTTGTTTTTAAGAAATGCACTTTGCTGGGATTTCATTAAAAATAGAGAAAACAAATTGTATTTTGAATACAGAAAATACAGTATTTTGTTTGTGGTGCACTGCAAAAATGTATATTATATGTAAGAAGAGTTGCAGTGGGATATGGCTGACATTATACAGCCGTATCGCACTGCTACAAGTGTGATATTGTGTTTATACAAAAGTTCGACGGCGTAATCGTGTATATAAACAAGAAAATCAAACATGGAAGGTCTCAATCCTTTTGGACGAGGAACTACTTTCTTCCTCCATTAGTTCACATCTGCAGCTGACGGTCAGAACAGCAGAAACCGTTACTAATTCACCAACGTTACTTTAGAACTAGCATTTGAATGATTCTTCGGTGCAATGTCTAAAGTGATGACAAAACAGGTCATTTTGCTCACATTTTAAGATTACAAGGCTGAATGGCATGAAATGCCATCAGTCTACAGGGAGTTCCCAGATTTTCTGTTGCAAGTGGGATATCAAAAAAATATAGACACACACACACACACACATACATACATACATATACAGTTGAAGTCAGAATTATTAGCCCCCCTAAATTATTAGCGCCCCTGTTTATTTTTTTCCCCAATTTCTGTTCTGTTCTAGGAAGATTGTTTCAGCACATTTCTAAGCATAATAGTTTTAAAAACTTATTTCTAATAACTGATTTATTTTATCTTTTTCATGATGACAGTAAATAATATTTGACTAGATATTTTTCAAGACACTTGGATACAGCTTAAAGTGACATTTAAAGGCTTAACTAGGTTGATAAGGTGAACTAGGCAGGTTAGGGTAATTAGGCAAGTTATTGTATAATGATGGTTTGTTCTGAAGACTATCGAAAAAAAAATGTGCTTAAAGGGGCTAATAATTTTGTCCCAAAAATGTTTTTTAAAAAATTAATAGCTTTTATTCTAGCCGAAATAAAACAAATAAGACTTTCTCCAGAAGAAAAAATACTTTCAATTGCTCTTTCATTGCCAATTTCATTGCTCTGTTAAAAATCATTTGGGAAATATTTAAACAAGAAAATTAAAATCAAAAGGGGGCTAATAATTCTGACTTTAACTGTACATAGCGTGAAATTCTACACACAATAGCCCATAATGACTATGTGAAAAAATTGTTGCAAATTTATCAAAAATAAACAACCTGAAAAATCACATGTACATAAGTATTCACAGCCTTTGCTCAATACTTTGTTGATGCACCTTTGGCAGCAATTACAGTCTCAGATCTTTTTTATTATGATGCCACAAGCTTGGAACACCTGTCTTTGAGAATTTTAGCCCATTCCTCCCTGTAGTACCTCTCAAGCTCTATCAGGTTGGATGGGAACCGACGGTGTACAGCCATTTTCAGATCTCTCCAGAGATGTTCCATAAGATTTAGGTCTGGGCTTTGGCTGGGACATTCACCGAGTTGTTGTGAAGCCATTCCATTGATATTTTGGTGGTGTGCTTTGGGTTATTGTCCTGCTGGAAGATGAACCGTCGCCCCAGTCTGAGGTCAAGAGCACTCTGAAGCAGGTTTTCATTCAGGATGTCTTTGTACATTGCTGCATTCATCCTTCCCTCTATCCTCACTAGTCTTCCAGTTCCTGCTGCTGAAAAACATTCTTACAGCATGATGCTGCCACCACCATGCTTCACTGTAGGGATGGTATTAGACTGGCGATGAGCAGTGCCTGGTTTTCTAAAATGTAATGCCTTTCAAATCAACTGAATTTACCACAGGTGAACTCTAATTAATCTGCTGAAACATCTCAAGAATGACCAGTGGAAACAGAATGTACCTGAGCGCAATTTAGAGCTTAACGTCAAAGCCTGTGAGTACTTATGTACATGTGATTTTTATTTTATTTGTATTTTTATTTATTTATTTTTTTTTTAATACATTTGCAACAATTTCAAAAAATCTTTTTTCACATTGTCATTATGGGGTATTGTGTGTAAAGTTTTGAGGAAATAAATGAATTTAATCAATTTTGGTATAAGGCTGTAACATAAAAGAAATGTGAAAAAATTGAAGCGCTATGAATATTTTCCGGATGCACTGTATATAAGTAATTCTATTGTTATACAGTTGAAGTCAGAATAATTAGCCCCCTATTGATTTTTTTTCTTTTTTAAATATCTGCCAAATGTTGTTTGACAGAGCAAGAACATTTTCACAGCATGTCTGATAATATTTTTTCTTCTAGTCTTATTTGTTTTATTTCGGCTAGAATTAAAGCAGTTTTGAATTTTTAAAAAACTATGTTTGGGACAAAATTATTAGCCCCTTTAAGCTAATTTTTTTTCCCCGATAGTCTACAGAACAAACCATTGTTATAGAATAACTTGCCTAATTACCCTAACCTGCCTAGTTGACCTAATTAACCTAGTTAAGCCTTTAAATGTCTTGAAAAATATCAAGTAAAATATTATTTACTGTCATCATGGCAAAGATAAAATAAATCAGTTATTAGAGATGAGTTATTAAAACTATTATGCTTAGAAATGTGCTGAAACTATCTTCCCTCCATTAAACAGAAATTGGGGAAAAAAATAAACAGGGCGCTAATAATTCTGACTTCAACTGTATATAATTTGTAATATGTCATCCTTTGCTTAAGTCTTCATATTCAGGGTTTTACATCCTTTCGTTTGTCTGGCTGTCAGTATTTCAATTAATCTTTCAATAGTTCACTTTAATATAAGTCAGATGTCACACACACACTTCAATGTTCGTGACAATGCAAGTCTGATGAGATGCTGTTGACACAGCTGGAGGTTTTCTCCATTGTTTGTAGCTTAAATTTAAGTCTTTCTTCTCCATTTTCGGAAGCACTTTGAAGTTAAAACACCATTCATACCTGAGCATGTTCATGGTGCCGCACCTGGCATTAAATGTAATGCACAAAAGCAAGGTGCAGTCACACAATACAGAAAAAAAAGAAAGAAAGCGGAAGTAATTTAAGAAGCTTAAATAAAGGGTTGCACAGAGAAAACGAGAGACCAGTTGTCCAAAAAGATATTCTGATTGTTTGATATAACATATGCATGACGTTTAAAAAAATGTATCATGCAAGTCATTCTTCATTGGTTTCAGTGGGAATAGCAGTGTGAATTTGGACACCTACTGAACCACATAAAAACCCAATTTTATTTACCATTTTGACCTTTTCAAATGCCTTTATTTAAACTTGGGTTACAAGTTAGTTAAGTTTTTTCTTTTTAAATTAAATTTTATTTTAAATGTATTTTTTTACATTTTTATTTTAAATGTAATTTTTTTATATTTAGTAAAAAAATTATTTTAAATGTAAGTACTTTTTCTTTTTTTTAATTAAATTATATTTTTATTTTATTTATTTGGCATTCTTTTCTTTTCATTTAATTTATTTAAAATTAAATGTAATAATTATATATATATATATATATATATATATATATATATATATATATATATATATATATATATATATATATATATATAGATATATATATATATATATATATATATATATATATTAAATTTAAAGTAAATACATTATTTATTTTATTAGAAATATAAAATTCTATCCTTCTTACTTGCTTATTTTATTTAAATGTAAATACATTTTTACATTTACTCATTCAATGTTATAAAATGTTGATCTTTTTTCAACTATTTTATTTCATTCATTATTTTACATTTTTAGAAAATTTTTCGAATAATTTAATTTTACAAATTTTTTATTTGATTTTATTTTACTGGGATTTTGCTACTTTTGGTAACGCACAATAATATTTTCATCCAGCAGTCCATTGCTGCATAGTCAATTAGCAAAAATGCCTATGTATACTGTAAAATTTTATGTTTGGTTGTGCATTATTTTTTTTTTACTAATTAGGATTATTTTGAACAGGCAAGGTTTATGAAACATTATTTTCAACTGTTGCCTGTTGTGTATAGAAGAACCAGTATTACTTTCTGTTATAAGTTTCATCAAACAAAGAAATTAATATTTTCTATTCATGACCTAGACTTTATAGGTCATGCAGTGCCAGTATATTTTGCAGCATAAATCAGATGAATATGCTGTTCACGCTTCAACTCATTGCTACAAAATTATAGTGATTTACTAGAAACAAGTTTGGGTATTTGAGTTCTCACCAGATTTTGTAGCTGATATTTTATTGCTGTGAGTTGGGAGAAGCAAACAGTTATTTAAAGGAACCCTTTATGACCAATAACAGTGATTAAAGCAATATGATAATATGACTTTATTTGTATTCTGTTGTATCCAGACCGAAATTATGTGCCAAAGGAGCCAATGCATCCTCTTCCATCAGCTCAGAGGTAAAAAAAAATCATAATCTGAGACACATGACAAAATGTATCATAAATGATCTTTCTTATTGGACATAAAAATATATATTTTTTAAAAATTAAAAATGTTTTTAAATATCTGCATTTATTTTTGTGCAAAATTTATTTAGTTGAATTTACTGTATATTATGTAAATGCCCTCCTGTGAAATTTTATTTTCATTTTTGTTTCATTTTTCAAACAAACTCAATATTATTTATCAATATTACTAATATAATACATTATTATTATTAATCAATATTATTTATTAATAATAATAATGTTCATCTTGAATTGTACATACCTATCTGCATACCTCTGATTATTAATAGCAACCTGTACATATATTCATCTGTTGTAAATCTCTGTTCATAGTTCATACAACTTGTATATAATGTTCCTAGTACATTCATCTGTAAATATCAAAATATAGTTTTTCTATAATTGCACTTTACAACTTATACCTACAGTATATCTTGCACTTGCTGCTATTGCACTCCTGGTTAGACCTAAACTGCATTCCGTTGCCTTGTACATGTGTAATGACAATAGTCAAGTTGAATCTAATCTAATCTAGTCCTATCTGATTAGCATACCTGTTAACATTGGAATGTGAAAAAATAATTGACCCCACCATCCCCCAAAAATCCCAGAATTACTATTACTATTATTATTAATTTCATTGTAAATAAGCTGTTGAAACGATCAGTAATATGTTTTATTATAATTATTATTATTATTATTAACAAAGGATGTACACGTTATGATATACATTAGAAAAAGCTGCAAATAAATTAGCAAACAGTTTAGCTTATTAAAATGAAAAGCTATCATAAAGAAATTGAATCACTATATAATTTAAACTCTATGATGAAAGAGCAGCGAATGATTCTCTCATTTAGATTTTTCATTTGATTACATGAATAACAGAGGTGTCACTTTAAAAATACACAGATCTATAATGAAAGCATTCAATTGCTTTCCTTACTATTTATGATTATTTAAGACAAAGTTAGTTGTGTTTAAAAAAGGTGGCGTGTTAAGGCGCATTACTGGTTTTGAGAAACTATAATATTCTTATAGTTTAATAATAATATGAATATTAATATAATATTCATCTCACAGCTTGAGATGTTGACATTTTTTTTATTTATTTGTATTTTAAAGTTCGTTTTACTCTTTGTTGTCAGCACTTTGGTCAACTGTGTTGTTTTAAAGTGTTTTATAAATAAATTGAATTGAATATTCTGTCCAATAGACCAGCTTAGAGGAGGTCATTAGCTTTTTTATAATGTTATTATTATTAGTAGTAGTATTTATTACATGCATATTAATATTTGCTTTATTAAAAACAAGCTTACGTTTGCCCACCTGTCAGGTTTTAGACCATATGGGGCATAGCATGTGTATTTGGAAAGAACTCCAATTTGTTTTATTTAACACACTTTAACACACTTTATTGTTGTTCATTTATTCGTTTGCTGGAATTTAGAACTGATTTTAGAAATAGTTTTAAAACAAGTCTTTGCACTTAATAATCAAAATAGATCCCTTTATGTTTATTGCAACCCTTAATAGAAAGATTGACAATACTGTAGAAATACAGGAAAATACCTTTACGGGATGATAGCGCGAAAGAATTGTAAAACACTGGAGAATCCCGGAAAAAACAGGAGGGTTGAGAGATATGCTAATTAGCCCACTTAACTTTTTCCCTGATTGGTTACACAACTAACTACTGTTGTCCAATGATTTGTCTAATTAACCTAAATCTAACCTAAATTTACTTGCCTAGTTAAACCTAGTTAAGCATTTAAATTGTACTTTAAGCTCAATACAAGTGTTTTGCTAAATAACTAGTAAACTATTATGCTCTTTCACCATCGCAAAGACAAAAGAAGTCATTTGAGGTTATTAGGAATTACTTATTAAAAGTCTTCTATTTAAAATGTGTTGAAAAAAATCTCTCTATTAAACATCACTTGACAAATTTAAACAAAAATCACAGGAGGGCTCATACTTTTGTCTTCAACTGTGTATACATTTTAAATGTTTAATAAATTATACATTCTGAGATGTATAGATGGTGGCATGGTGTAAAAAGGTAATAAATAAAATGTTGAATAAGTAATACATATATAATACATTTATTTTAGTATATTAAATATTTAATGACCTAATATAATGATTTTATTTCACGTTTCGCAAATAATAACCTGCCAAAAACCATTCAGCTTTGTCGTTTGGTGTTATTTCCGCTATATGTTGCAGTCGAAATAATGTAAGGTATTCTGTCGTAGGTTCCAGAAGGAGTGTTAAATTCGGCAGCAGATGTGAGTGAACTGCAGATGGTTTCTCCTAATGACTTGGAGCAGCAGCACAACGACAACAACAACCATTCCCTCAACCGCAGTCAGTCCTACACAGGTGCTCACTTTCCCTCCATCCGTTTCTCCCACTCATTGTATTTCCCTTTCATATCAGGCTTTCTCTCCTTCCTCTTTTCTCACCCCCGTTTTATTGTTTTCTTCATTGATGTTGTCAGATGAAGGGAACTTCGGGGTCACTGGGTTCCTCTGAGTATAGCTGGGTTCATTTGTCCCCTCTCTGAACCTATACATTGAGTTTAATTAGTCTCTTCCAGGAACAGAGAAAAGGCTTAATTACTGTAATTGAAAGAACAACAGCACCCGAGCTAGCTGGAACTTAATTTTACTCTTGCATGGAAACTGATTGGAAGTGAGTGTAAAAAAGGGTTTGTTTGTTTAATTTCTCCCATTTTATGTTTGTGTTATGTTGTTGTTCAAGGACGTTGTGTTCATTTATGTGCGTATGTGTGTGTGTGTGCTCTTTTGCTGTTATTATATTGTGATTGTGAAGCATTTTGGGACCCCCTTGAAAAACATGATGGCACATCTTGAGGGGTTAATCATAATAATTAAATTCACCTAAAACATTTTTTAAAGGAGTGGTCCACAGTGTATTTTTAAGGCTTGGTTGTGTTTATGGGGTCCAAAGCAATGTGTGCTTTCTTTGTAGAAAATCACATTATTTTTTCATATATCTTAGGCCGTACTCACACTACGTACAGTTGCCTCAAACCGGGCCAAAGCATGCTTGTCCCCCTCCCGTCTTCCCTTGACGGCCCGCACTCACACTACAATCGGGCCTGAGCACGCTTATGTCATCGATGCTGCGGTGTTCATTAAGCGCTCTCGCTCAGCACAGTGGAGATTTCTCTTGCTATATCGCTTCAGTCATTTGATATGCAGTCAAATATTGTGCCAAACAGTCCTTAGGGATGCGGTGACACGTAGTCAGATATTTCACTGAACAGATTCGCCACTTTTGGCGCTCATAAACAATTTTAAAGCCCTCGTGCTGCAGGAATGAGGAGGTTTTCGGATAGCATAGTGTGAGTAGGCCCTTACTTTGATTATCAACAGCTACTCTGCTAACATGAAAACGACTGTCATATTTTTGAGTTCCTCTGAAAGGCCCGCCCTCAAGAGCCTCTGATTGGTCAGCTAACATAATGTGCTGTGATTCGCATATCAGCTCCACATTGCCAGGAAGCGCCTCTGTTATAACATTACAGCGTCTCTGGCCATGCCCTTTTGCTGCGCGGGGTGCATCTGCGTGACCTGAAGGGTTTTTGACATCATTAACCCGGATGTTGTTTTGTAGTCCTCAAACTTCGTTTGCTGTAGGCTTTGCTAAGCTAACTCTTTAAAAGCCAATGTCTCCCTTTGCATTGAACTTTGAGCGTCTTAGATTCAGAGATGTTGTCTGTTCACACAACTACATTACATAACCTAAAGTTCAAAATATGATACTGTAGTGGACCACCTCTTTAATCTTAAGATTTTTTTTTTATCTTAAACATTTTATTTGAACTAAAGATGTTTAAAAAATTGAGTTGAAAAATTGCTTAATTTAATTTAATTTTAATTATTATTTATAACTCATTGCGTCATTTTCCCCTTCTCTGTAAAAAAAAAAAGTTGACTCAACTTAAAATTGTAAGGCAATGTGCTGCAGAGCTTTTTGAGTTGACCCAACTTTCAACCCAAACACTGCACTTGATTTAAGTCGAGTAAATTCAAACATGTCCTGAATTTGGTTGCCTTAATTTTAAGTTGAGTCAACTTTTTTTTACAGTGTTTATAAAAACTTTTCTTTTTACATATTATTCTAATATTTAAAAAGAAAACTTCATAAAAGGTCGATATGAAGCAATGTAATGACATTTTATATGTCTGTTGTGTAGGTAAGTGTAGAGTTGAATGAATTTAGTTTTATAAATGTCCTGTTACTCTCTATCCTAAAAATGTAAATTCCACCTTTTTAAAACTACGTATAAAGCTACCAACTTCACATAAAGTGAAATCAAATTATAAGACCTTTTAAAATTATTTTTAAAAGAATATTTATTGCAACATTGTTTATATTTTCAAATTAAGGTCAGAACTAAACTATGAATGCCTTTGCCAAGTTAATATTTTTACTTTAAAATATTTGTCTAAGTATAATAAGTAAAAAAATTATAATTTTAAGGAAAGTTTATAAAGTTATATACTGTAAACAATGTTTACATTAAAACAACTTAAAATTAAAAATATTTTTTGTAGGTTATTGTAATTTTTTTACGTTTTTTTTTTCTTTTGTTTAGTTCACCCCTTGATTCTAATAAATGCTAAAATAATTAGTTTTATTTTATTATTACTTTGAGCCATGTATATTTCCTAAACACAAATGTGTAAAGTCATTTTATCATAGTGGGAGGTCGAGAACGTGTAGTAGGGGTTGTTTAAGAAGCCATTGGCTTTACACTAAGCTGTAAATCTGAAATCCCCGTCTCTTTAGATTAGACCAATTGTACCAGCAGGAGAGCTTAAATGTTTCCATGTAGATTTCATCATAACGGATGCCATCTACATATGTGTTAGATTCAAGTGTATGATTATTTTATAAAGCTGGCATGTCTGTGTGCTCTGCAGGGTCTTCGGTAAACGCAGCCTGTGAAGTGTCAGATAAAGCTGCTCTGGAGCTCTTCTCTTCTGGTCTGACTGAATTAGAGCTGGGCACAGACGAGGTGTTTGTCATCGCCTCTGCACCCACTTCGGCACAGCTGCCCTTCTCTCCACACACTGTGAGTGGCTCCTACTACCTCAACTTGATGAATAATGAATGAAAAATGAGATAATGGCATTGAGTGAATGCTTAAGGCACGTACTACACCATCAACAAATAGATTTGCTTCAAATAATCTAAATCCCAGCGTCAGCGCACTCAGAAATAACAAGTTTGTTGGCAAAAGCCGATAAACGCCACCTGCCTTTGACAGCAAAAGCCACTATATCCCGAGAACTAATCAGAAGCGCAAATCGAATCATATGTTTTCAATGTAGCAGTGTGCTAATACACGGGCTTATTATGAGGATACATATTCTGCTTTCGATTTTAAAAGACGGAGTTTGATGGACTTAACAAATCAGTCCGATATTATAAATATATACATATACATATATAGGATAATAACTGGAATATCGCAAAAGGAGTAGAAAAAGTCAAAGCAAAGTTCCACAGGGAAACTGAAATAAAGTGCTAAGATGAATGTATTGTACACCGTTGCATCGGTCAGTTTGTTTATATGAATTACATTTGACAAATTCATAACTAATCTGCAACTTCAAATAAAAAATACATAGTTTTTATTTTTCTCTGTGTGTTGTGAGTGTAAATTACAGTTTATAAAATTACTTAATATTTGTATTTGTAAGTTCTCACATTCAGATTTGCAAGCAAGTTTTGCTACTGATTTCCCTTCGTATTTGCCTGCCATCATCATACTCGTTTAGCACTACTGTCCTATGCATTTCGCTGAATATAAAAATACATATCAATACATTTAGATCATTTATCCTTGCTATTGGAATGTGTAGAGACTTTCAACACTTCGGCACACCAAAAATTGTTACTGAAGTGCTACCCTGTATGTTTACTTCTTCTTGGTATTTCCAAGTGTTCTTCTTGACACTGAGTTGTTTTGAGCGTGAATAGCTGGTGCAGTGTCTCATGCTGATGGAGGCCAAGCGTCATGGTGTGTGGTGATGTTCTGGATGAAGGGCAGAGAAGGAGCTCTTCACCAGAGACTCTGGCAGCCGGAGGGGGAGCTGGCCTGCTAATAGCTCTGACTAATGAATGCTATACGCCTGTAGCCAATTTCCCAGATCCAGCTCTCTCTCCCTCTCCCTATGTGTGTGTGTGGTCCATGCTGCTTTGGCTCTGAAATGTGGCATGAAAAATTTGCCAAGCTGTTTGTTCATATAAAGAGGTTTGAGAATCTCTGTGGTGTTCGGCTGAGGGCCTGCTAAAGCCTGAAATATACTGTGTTTTTAACATGTGCACTAAAGAATGCAGACACAGCCTGTGTAACATATGGCATTTATGGTCCCGTGAAATTAAAATAAAGTGTTTTGATGTAACAATCAGTATGTTAGTTTTAAGGATGAATATAAGCTAGGGGGCTCTAAAACAGTGACAATTTGTGTTTATAAGAAATAAACCTGATATAAACACCCAAAGCTTGCAGTTTGTCACTTGTTGATCCTAAATGGATCAATAGATCTTCAGTTTTCATCAAATCTTAACCAATCAAGTGCACCCTAGTATCTGACATGCCCCGTTCCTTTTTAAGACGTTTATCGTTTGCTTTTTGGTCTTGCAGTTGAGCTTAGCCATTACTAGAACAAAACACTTTGGATTCATCTTCAATGCCTCCTTTTACATTTTACCCCAGATATGCTCAATAATGTTCATGTCTGGTGACTGGGCTGGCCAATCCTAGAGCACTTTGACATTCTTTGCTTTAGCAACTTTGATGTGGAGGCTGAAGTATGAAAGGACCGCTATCCTGCTGCTGAATTCGCCCTCTCCTGTGGTTTTTAATGTAATGAGCAGTACAAATGTCTTAATACTAGTGGTGGGCAAAGCGAGGCTTCATGAAACACTGAAACAATCGAAGCAAATGAGTCAAAGCTTCGAAACGTTTCGAAACCTCACTCTACGGTGACACCTAGTGGTAATTTTTTATGTATTGCACCGAAACAGCTTCAGCAAGAACATTTTAGCAAGTTGAGGTATTAAACCCTACTTTGTAGAAGTATATATTCAAGAGATGTAGTGGTGCAGTTAAGGTTTCTGACTTCCATGTGGGGATAGTGGGTTCGAATCCAGGCTGATACAGCTATTTTGAAATGCTTTAATACCAGTTGGTAATGCTTTGTTCTTGTTTCATTTTGTTTCAACATTGGTCTGACATCTGAATAAATGCTTTGTGAATAAATATGTCTTGTTTTGGTATTAAAACGGTTATTGCTAGATCAGACACAGTTGTGGCCAGAAGGTAACAAGAATTAGTTATATTATTCATTAAATTTCCCATTTATTGTATTTCATTAACGTCTACCCAAACCCTAAACCCAACCATCAGTACTGTAAAAATATTTATTATTGTTTTAGTGTTACAAAAATGATGCTATATTGATGGCGTATTCGCAGCTGTAATCTATTTAGGCTACACCATAAAACAGAAATATGATTAAAATACATAAAACCATGATTTGGGAGTCGGTATTTGAACCCAAAAGACACTGGAAGAATAGTAACAGCGTGCACACGCACAGTCCACTAGGCCATATGAGACAGGTAAAGAATCAGACCCCGGCAGTAACATAGATGTGCCAGGTCTCGAAACGCTTCTTAACTGATCGATTTTTTCAATCACTTTAGTCACGTGACCAAGTGTTTTGGATCATGCTTCGGTGCAGTGTTTCGAAACACTTGCGCTTCGGGATCTCGAAACTGTGTCGAAACGTCAGTTTCACGTCAGCCATCCCTTATTAATACCTCAGGCTGTTGATGTTGCCGTCCACTCTGAAAGTCCCAATCCATGACTTTCCTTCACCAAACTTGACTGATTTCTGTGAGAATTTTGGGTCTTCCTGGGTTCCAATATGTCTTCTGCAGTATTTGTGATGATTGGAATGCAGTTCAACAGATGATTCATCTGAAAAACTGACCCTCTGCCACTTTTCCAAATGAGTAACTAGAAGTCAAGTTATTATTTGTTGCTCTTACAACTGGGATCGACGACAAGGCCTTTGTCAGGTAGTGCATGTCCCACCCTTTCTTTGTGTTTCAGTCGAGATTACGTCAAATTTCGAATAAAAAAATGCACATTTCAAAGCACTTCACAGCACCTTTAGGATTAATTTCAGAAGTAAATGATGCTAAATATAGTTGTTAATGCAGTCTAAAACCTTTCCAGCTTGTCAACTTATGTCTATTCCGAGAGGTGGTCGAAAACGTACTTTTAATGGGATTGTTTTGTAGTGTAAACACTCTTGTGGTTATATGCATTTAAACAGCAAGTGATTACCACATACTCTCCCTTTCCTGATTCACAAATGATCAATATGGCACTTGTTTTGAGGAAGCACACCAAAACAAGATCTTTAATCAAAATTAATAATGGTTGTAGTATGAACGGTCTAGGAGGAGATGCATATAGAAAGTAGTCTCAGAAGAAGAAGAAGACGGAATAATAATAAGTTTATGTAATATAACAGTATGTTGGCTTTCTCAAGCCATCATAATTATTGTTGTACAGTAATCGTATTATAAATATATAAATAATTCTCGTTAACTTTCGGCTGCAGCTGTATCCCTTCTAGAGTTTACCGCCAAATCCATAGACTGTGAAAACACACAAGAGCTTTTCTTGATAAGCGTTTGAGAGCATGATTAAAATCTTACCTAGAGCGCCACCTGCTGTTTAAAATTAAGCTCAGGATCAATTCCTAAGAGAATCGCAATGCATTAAGAAAATATGTCACAATGCATGATATTTTTTTTAGTTCAATTAATGTAAAGGAGGGTTACAGATGGACAATTTAGCCGGAGTATTATATTTCTGTACTTTCTGACTGAAATGTGATCTAAAAATGCAGAAAACATTTATTGTATAATCTGATATTAAAAAGGGAAAATAATGTTTATATTAAAACCTATGAAAACAAATATTGAATGTAAGCATGTGTCACAGGTTATGCTTTATGTGTTATGGTTAGGTTATGTGTATGCAAAAAATGGTTAAAATCGTTCCATTCTAACACTTTCACATTACAATCTTAAAAAACAAATATATTACTATTTAAAGCAAAGTAAAATGTAGAAGTTTAACCCTCTACCGCATGGTGTTACCATATGGCAACATGATATTTGTTTATTTCCCTACCACTATTTCTTTAAGACCAACTTTCAAATTTTTTTGTTGGAAAGAGAAGACCTCAGTTTAGCCAAGGGTGTGCTTTGGTTAAGTCACATAACATGCAGTGTTTTTCTGTGGCGGTATTTCTGACTGACTGGCGTTTATTATGAGTAATTGCTGAATGCAAATGTAAGCGTCAATAAAAATAAAGGATCAATTTATGTCAGATCCACAAACAAATTATGAAACATCACCTCCAGTAAGTTATGATGACATATTCACTACTCAAAAAAAGTCTTCATCAAATTAGTTGCTTGTAAATTGATCAAATGTATGTGTTGCCATATGATGGCACTGTCCAAGAGTGGAATACACAATATTGCAATGGGTTAGCTAGCAAGCAAGTTCAGGTGTAACCTTTATATTTTAACAATAACAACATGAATGTAATATGTTGATTTGTCATATGATAAAGGCATTTGAATTATGGATGAAATCCAAATTTAATGGCAATTTTTTTGATTAGATATAAATACAGAGAACAGTGTATTAGCGAGCACCACCATGTTCTATGGTAAGTGAAAGAAGAAAAGGACAGAACTGGCTCTTCCTGCAGATGAAAGTGAGGATGAGGTTTTAGTGACAATGAGAATGATGTAGATTGGGCGTTTGATAAGAGCAGTGATGCAGACAGTTCAGGTTAGTTAGCTCAGAGGTAGGTAAGACAGGTGTAGTATAGTAGTATAATATATAAACATTGTTAGCTGGTAGCTACATTATTCTGATGCATAGATATATTAGACTTGTTATTTATTGGTTATATTATTTCCTGGAGAAAATATTTATATTTACTTTATGTTGTATACATGATAATACAA